TGAATTCTCTTGAGGAATCCACGACCGGAGTCTGCAGCTAGCTAAAGCCTGACCCGCAAGGCAGCGGGGCGGTGTGAAGACCGCATTCCATTGGGGTGTCCAATGCATCGGATCACACGCCCGTTGGACGGAGTCAAAAATCTCAGGTGTCTAGTAAACCTCGGTGTCCAATCGAGCCGGTAACCACTAACACTATCAAGTGTCTGCTTGGTTCGTACGCTTCTTCTTGGTTGGTTTGGAATCAGGATTTTTAGTCAACTCCCCTAGGTGAACAGCCAGTGGTTCACCGACTTGGTTATAGCTCAGGATGTCGGCTTTTCGTCCTCTCACTTTAATTGGAAAACACCTCCGCCACGAGAAGGCAGTGAGTAGGGATTTCTCAGTCGAGGCTATCTGAGACTCTTAGTCCAATGGGAGCATTTCACAATATGCAAGGGTAGGGTGACCAGCCGCAACCCTAAAGACCCAATCCCGACCATAATGAGGCTTGATCAATGTTCAATATTCACTAAAAACCTCTTCGACGAATTCCAATTTTCATGAACCTAAAGGACCCGCCCGCCCGGTGAGGTGTGTTCATGATGTGTTAATGATTTACGTTTTACTTTTGGGAAACTAAATCCTGTGGGGGGACAAGTCAGCTTCTTGGATGTCAATATTGATGGCAGCTTATGTCTGACGATGGGAGGCAAGACTGGCGCACTGAGACCCAGTTCTGGTTCCAGTTACGAATTCCATATACGGATCGGAGGTCGCGTAATTCCAAATCCACAGTGGTCGCACTGCTCCAGGCCGCTAGTTGCCCACCGAGTCAGCAATGCCATCCACGGCACGGTGTAGAGGCTACAGTCTGTCGCGAGAGTTGAGTGCTGAGTGTTTGGGGCACGTGACCAAACCACCGACGCGCCGACGTTGTAGCATTCTCGAAAGCTTGTCAACGTTCCAGTACAACAGTCGAACCTCACTATTTGGGAACCCGATCTCTTCTATTTCCTCCCAGATGCGGCGTAAGCACCAATTATAAAGAACCTCAAGAGTTCCTTGAATTTTGTACTCTTAGCGACCGTTTTACAACCATAAGTGAGGACGGAGTAGATGGAAACCTGATAAACCCTAAGCTTAGTGTTCAAGCTTACTTTGTATCGGTTCTACAACGGTCTGATGAGTTGCAAGGGTTTGCAGCGTGCGAGCAAGAGCAGTCTGGGTCTGGACTTGCAAAAGCACTCAAACGTTGAAGGTCGCCGCTTTAAGCTCAAAGTAAGGCACAAATAGTGGTTACTGGTTGATCGGGCTACGCTCATATTCGGTTTGCGTGTCTAAGGTTACGACTGAAGTTAATCAGTACTTACTGCTTTGGATGTCCGTAACTCATACAATAATCGTCACAAGTTCCGCGTAGTGAACAGTACCAAGAAAAAAGAACAATCAAGGTGAATTGTTTCTCGACTAAAGAGAGCCTATGCAGTGGTTTTAACGTACCAAAGTAAAATAACAAAAACCATTCACGGTCATCAGAAGCCTACGTTGCTTACCGATCGATCATAAGACTATATTCAGTGAAACAACAAGCCGAATAAACAGAGACTTCAGACCCGTATTTTCGTTATAGCATCGGAGTTGACACGCGATCACAGTCAAGATGTCCGACTCCAAGTCAGTCAGATCAACCAAACCGGAAATTTGATGTGATTGTACGAATTGTTAGCCTGATCGAATGAATCTGGCAAATCAATTCAAAATTTGTGGAGGCAGGGAGAACCCATGCAGACAGTAGCATGGACGTGAAGCTGTGTATATACAGCCAAGATTGGGTCAGTATCACTTTCGTTTATTGAAACCATTAAACATGCACATTCGTGCGCCGGTTTTAGTTGCTGTCTTTTGGCTGCCCGTGGATGAAGTATAAAAGAAAGGAAAGTTGCAAGTGGATTCGAAAGGAAAATGGAGAAGTTCAGTGGTCTAAGGTTGCGAAGGAATCGAGAAGATGCACGAACGCCACTATTTACGACACCCAGCCATTTCGCTCAGTGTCTCTAACCATCGGTTACGATCATCCCGAGGTCCCCAGATAGGGAGCCCAACAGGACCTATGTGACCCAGTTTCCTGGTTAGGGTTTTCATACCCTCGTGCCAGTTCTTAACTTGACCACCCTTGGCTTTTTCCACTCGATGTCTGCTTCGGCGAACATTGCTCCCCATGGTAACCTACTTGGTGACATGCGTAACACATGTCCCAGCCAACGTAATCTATGGAGGGAGACCACTTGTTCCAGTGGATGACCGCAGATGCCTAAAACTTTGCACCTGACCTCAGCATTGTTCGTCCGACTGTCCCACCAGAATCGTGCATTGCTGCGTAGACAGTGATGTTCAAACACTGGTAGTCGATCTTTGTCCTGTTTTCTGAATGGTCAAGTTTCTACTCCATATAGCAGAAATGGCAGAAATGGCCGAACTGTCGCGGCATACACTCGACCCTTCACAGACAGTCGGATGTCGCGACGGCGCCACAGATGTATTAAGTTGGCAAATGCCAAACGAGCCTTCTGTATACGAGCTGACACTTCATCCGTGATGCGTCCACCGAGTGAGATGTAGCTGCCCAAATAACAAAACTTATCCACCTGCTCTATTACTTCTCCAGTAAGAGTGAGGCTGGGTGCTGGACCAACCCAGTCTTGTGGCAACATTTTAC